CAATATCGTGATAATACCGTATACCGTAATAAAAGCATTAGCAATTAATCGCAACATGAAAATTTGATACCGGCACATCCCTAGTAGGGATGCACCGAAATGAAAATTCTGGGCCGAAACCGAAACTTCTGGATGCACTTGGCCGAAACCAAAACCGAAAATGCTTTGTAATTATTTATTTTATTACATAATTTTAAAATACTTTTTTAATTTAACTCAATAATTTGAATGATACTGAATAAAAAAAAACACAAGCCAATTAAATAACCACACTTTTACTGAAAGTAACACAATAAAACTGGACAGAATTTATATTAATATTGGTAACACTTTACACTGTATTCTCATTAACTAAAATTAAGAAAGATGAATAAATACTGTAATAAATATTTTGTTCATTGTTCGTTCATGTTAGTTAATACATTAACTAACATTAACTAATGGAACCTTATTGTAAAGTGTTACCTTAATATTAAATAGGCCTATCAATATATTATTTTTATTCACTTCTATGTAACAGAATCAGATATAAGTTTTTTTTTTTTACTTATTAATATGAGCAGAGTATAGCATCACTGAAGGTAGCATCATTTTACCAGCGTTGCCCAGTACAGCTGTACAACAGCATATTACAGCACAGTAGCGCTACTGCAAACAGGAACAAGTATACTGCATAGAAATTTCCTGTCAGTGCGGTATTTGAGCGGACTTTGCTTTTTCCGGTGAGCATGAGCGGTACACGAGCACATTCATAGAGCGGAATATTGAGCGGAGCGTCAAACAGCGCAATGACGAGGAGAGTGAAACCTGCGCTGAACACTGCCGGGCGGGGCGGGGCGCGCCATATATACAGGTGCATCTCAATAAATTAGAATGTCGTGGAAAAGTTCATTTATCTCAGTAATTCAACTCAATAATTTTCGGCGGCCGAAAATTCGGTGCATCCCTAATTTCATGCTTACTTTAAGTTAGCAACAAATCAGTTCTCATCTCAGAAATCCACATACTAAACTTGCCAAAGAAAACATGTAGGATGGGGATTGATTTTGTCCATCTGGAAATGACTGAATGGTGGGCGTGAGATATCACAATGGAGCCGTGTTGAATTTGAGTTTGCTATAAACACTGTCAGAATACCTATTTGTCTATTGATTAATATATCCAATAGCTAGCATGGCCTAAATGATATCACTGGACAAAGAAAGTTGTTATTGTGTTCGGATTAATGATTGCTAAGACAAACAACTGTTTTTCATTTATGGAATAACTTTCACTGATGAATCTTTCGCTGACCTTGAATGTGCATTAATGCTTTGAATATGTTTTAAAGAAGCACAAGATACAGCACACTGTATATCTCACTATAGGCAAGAGAGGGGAGAGAAAAACAGTAAAAAGATCAAGGAACAGTAGTGAACCTCTGGTAAACCACACAAGTAACAGTGATGTTTATCACAGTGTCCCACACCACTAGCATCACTGCATGGCTGCTAAACAGAGGCAGGAAGACACTGCTGATTCACCCTCTAGATCAACATACATTAATTCACATACAGTGTTACTTTCTCTTCAGACAATGTCTTTACATGACTCATATTTCCACAATAATTTAGAATAAGATGTCCATAAACTGAGAACACCGATTATATTTTGCAAAAGGTTTTGTATAACAAGCAGCAGATTATTTTAGTCTTTGAATCATAAAGACTAATCTGACTGCACATGAATCCTGTCACTAAACGATACCTCAATGTGTGTTTGTACAATATATTTAGTATGTCACACCCAACTTGTGGTGTCAGAAACACAATGCATTCCATAAACGGGAGCAGTATGGAAACATTCTCAACCAGATTAAAGCCTGAAGCAGGGAATGACAGGAATGGTGTGAATTGTGTGAGGTTTAATTACCAACTACAACTGGTCCTGCAACACCAGCAAAAAAACACATGAACTAAGAACCTAATAATTTAATGTTCTAACTAATTAATGTTCAATTAAGAAGGGAATCTCATTAGGTTTAATTAGGGCTGGACAATAATTCAATATCAATATGTATCGCAATATAATTTTTTTCAATAACGGTGATATGATTTTTAAACACATTTCCGAAATTTTATTTAGAATACTTTTATTTAGCAAGGATGCTTTAAACTGATCAAAAATATTATAATTTTACAAAAGATTTATATTTCAGATAAATGTTGTTCTTCTGAACTTTCTATTCATCAAAGAATCCTGAAAATAAATGTTTTTGACCAGCAAATCAGCATATTAGAATGATTTCTGAAGGATCATGTGACTGGAGTAATGATGCTAAAAATTCAGCTTTGAAATCACAGGAATAAATCACATTTTAAAATATTTTCAAATAGAAAAGTTATTTTAAATAGTAAAATTCAAAATGTTACTGTTTTTGCTGTATTTTTCAAATAAATGCAGGCTTGGTGAGCAGAAGAGAATTCTTAAAAAAACATTCAAAATCTTACTGTTCAAAAACTTTTGACTGGTAGTGTATGTCAGCCTATAGTTTAATATAAGGTAAACATTCATTTATTTGTGCTGGTTTTTTTTCTTCTTAAATATTATATAGTTTTATAGGAGGAGGTTTCATAGACTTGGAAAATTAATTTTTCAAAAGTTTTCAGGTAGGCTACAGACATCTGTTGTGGGCGTTCTTGGCAGTTTTAATGAGGCTTTTTTTTAATAGTGTTCATATCGATACCGGAATTATATCGTATCGACCAAAATTAAGAAATATATCGCGATATAAATGTTGGCCATATCGTCCAGCCCTAGGTTTAATATATATGCATTGTGTGAAGTTGCCTAACATATCAAATAATTCACTTCTCTACCGACCTTGTTAAAATGTTTACCATGTCAAAAAATAGTTTCTGCCAAAATACCATATTTTCTACAGTTATTCATGCTACTGTGAAGCCATATTAAATATGGCATCTACATTAAAAAAGTGTCACAAACTATAATATCTGCAACTGCACATGTTATTTTTGTTACGTTTCTTTTTTTCATAATCATTCCAAGTAACCTGAGTAACTTGTATTTTGGCAAACTGTGGTTACCATGGCAAATGTAAGCACATAACTAAAGCTTAAAGGGATAGTTCACCCAAAAATGTAAATTCCGTCATCATTTACTCACCCTGAAGTTGCTCCAAGCCTGTATGAGTTTCTTTCTTCTGTTGAACACAAAATAAAATATTTTGAATAATGTTGGTAACCAAACAGTTTGTGGTCCCCATTGACTTCTATAGTATTTTTTTCCACTGGTTACAAACATTTTTCCAAAATATCTTCTTTTGTGTTGAACAGAAGAAAGAAACTCCTATAGGTTTGGATTGACTCTAAGGTGAGTAAATGATGACAATTAAAATTTTGGGGTGAACTATCCTTTTAAATGTGTATAATTGTATCTCTGAACTCAAATGACCTTTCAGGTAGCATTTTGTCAGTCTGATGATATGCACCATAATGTGCAAGAAACAGGCTGATAGAAATGAAGAAATCCGTCACCCTGCTTTAAAGAAAGTGTCAGTGCTGGTCATGATAACATCATATGGCAATGAACCATAAGAATAGACCTGGAATGGGATAGTTCAGCATTAAATTGAAATCTACGGAACACAAAATTAGATGTTAGTCAGAATGACTCCCAGTCACCATTCACTTTCATTGTATGGAACACAGATGCAATTGAATGGAGACTGGGGCTGTCAGTCCTATTTGCAGTCATACAGGTTTGAAAAGACAAAAAAATACTACTACTACTAATAATAATGACATCATTTACATTTTGGAGTGAACCTTTTAAGATTAATCAGTTGAGCTAGGGAAAAATACAAATACACTCAGGTGACACAATCACCTACTGGTTGATATTTACCTTGTAGACTTTCCCAAAGGCTCCATCCCCAAGTTCTCCCACGATCTCCCAAACCTCCTCTGGGTTGACATCTCTGTGAACGTGCTCATACTGTTTCTTCTTTTTCTCCGTGCCCAGCTTAAATATCTTCCGAAAATTGAAAAAGGACATTTTCTAAACGCAATCTAAATGACTATCGGTAAAAACAAAATGACTGACACGACATAAACTGTTAATACTGTACTAAACGAATCACTTGGGGAGTTGGCTAATGGGCTAGCTGTGGATGATCGATCCGCAGATAAATCATTTAACGATACAGTTGCAGACAGCTCCAAGCAACCCTGTGAATGATGGCGAAGATATTAGTCTCTCTGGAAGTGACAGAGATCAGTCTTTATGTGGCATTTCGCGTCTCCATAACAGTGAATCATCAAGGCGAGCGACTCCTTCCACCATACAGGGATGGAAAAGTAACAGTCCACTTCCTCAGCTAGCTTCACAACGGCTACATGTGTGATCCTTTGTATTTACCACACCCGTCTAATCAAAAATACCACCTCCTAGTCAAACAAGCATCAACTATTCAAATATGTCGTTTAAAAAAAACTACGGTAGAGTAAAATCCATAAGGCTGGAGGCGGATAGGTAGCTAGCACACCGTAAAATTGCAGAGCGGATGCTGATGACCAAACTCCTGTCTGAGCTCAGTCTACTCCTCACGGGGAGGGGTGTGTTTTACAGCTTAGCCAACCAAAACTGTTTCGATAAAACCGATTAAACAAACCATAGAACACCAGCAGGCCAGTGGACACTGCTCACGGTGTTAAGGTGGATATTTGTCGCGCCTTGATCAACGGTCGCTCCCCTCGGGTCTCTCGTGACTAACTTCTCGAGGATGTTGCGGGAAGACTCGAAGCGCGTGCGTTCGGATAGGGAAGGCGCGTGCCCGGCTGTGGAAAGATTGGCGCAGGCGCAGTTGGTTCTGACCGTGTAGCGTTCTGACCAGGTTGACAGTAGTGATGTCCGGTTCGCGAACGAATCGTTCGATTTAACCGGTTCTTCTTAGTGAACCGGTTGAACCAGTTCACCAAATCTGGCTGAAGGAAGACTAATTTATTGACGTCATAACTGTAAAACATCATAGTTTGCAGATCACTGCCTGTATATGTGTTGATGCTTTAGATACAAAAATCCAAATTGTGAGAAACGTATCACAGACTGGGGGATTTGATTCCCTCAAGTGAATCGATTCTCTTGAATCACTCAACTTTCCTTTAGTTCGTTCAGAAACGACACTTCACTGTTCATTCCGAATCTAGTTTAGACTTATTGTACTCGTTGTATAATCAGTATTTGAAAGCAAAAAAACCCAAAAAAACAGTCACACACTTCAAAATGGAGACACACATGTCAGTGATTTTGGTTTATTAACAATTTGCTGCGTAAAGGCTTGCTTTGACATAGTTGGGAAAGGACTTGTTTATATTGAATGAATAGCCATACACTGACATCTACTGGGGTAAACAGGGTAATGCAGAAGTAGGCTACGTGTCACCTGGAAATGTCACTCATGTAGCCTAGTCAAAGAGCTGTGGGTTCTTCACTGCTCTTCTGTTATCCCTGAAAATGGAGAATGTAGATCGAATTTTGTCTGAAAGTCCCTCTATTGAAGAGCTGGAGGATATATTACATGGGGGTCAGCTATCCTGTAACCATATCGATGAAGTGTGTCCTAATTTGTTTCTGGGGGACATGTAAGTGCATTTATGTGGGACTTCTCTCCTTCTTATGTGTTGATTAAAATAAAACATTCACCCTTTATTATGTAATTCTTTCATATACAGGTACATGTCTCATGACAGATATGGCCTATGGAGACTGGGTATAACTCATGTTTTAAATGCTGCACATGGTAAAATGTGTTGCAAAGGAAGTGATGATTTTTATGGGACAACCGTAAAGTACTATGGTGTGCCGGCAAATGACCTGCCTACATTTGATATTTCATCATTTTTCTACCCTTCAGCACACTACATTCATGATGCTCTCAACACAACAGGTGGTATGTTAAAAACAACAACATAATTTCCATTTTTAAAACAGTATGATATTTTTACACATGAATAACACTAGTTAGGATTTATTTTTTTACTTCTTAAAATTCATTTACATTTTGTAGTTTTTTGTTTATCAGTTAATAATTGAGAATATATAAAGTATTGAAGCATCTTTTTTCAACAGCTAAAGTGTTTGTGCATTGTGCTGTGGGAGTGAGCCGTTCAGCTGCTCTGGTCTTAGCTTACCTAATGATATATTGCAATTACTCTCTGGTGGATGCCATCTTGAAAGTGAAAGAAAGAAGATGGATCTTTCCAAACCAAGGATTTCTGAAGCAGTTGATGACTCTCAACAATGAATTAAACTATAAGCTGCAGTCAAAGTAATTCAGAAATCTGTAAATTAAAAATAACATCTACATTTAAACAGCAGGCCTACTGCTGATCAACAACCATAATTAACATAATTATAAAATTTTCTTTTATTTATAATAACAGCTTTGTGTCATACTTCTGTTAAACTTAATTCAATAAAATATTTAAGTAGTCCAAAGCAATATTTGTACTATATATGGTCAATAAAGCGGTAATTTTTTGGGCTCCGTAAATATTCCTTTTGAATTTAACTAATAAATTAATGACTTATTTCTTTATTTTATTATTATTTGATCATTAATAAACAATATTTAATTACTGAATACCTCACAACACTGGGCAATTAAACCTCAAAGTCTTTATGTTTTATATGTCATTTATCAAAACTGAAGTTGTCCGAAAATGTTTAAGGACTTGAATCTTTCAAGGATTTGTATCTTCAACTGAACTAAAGTAGGCATATGCAAATGTATTCAAACTAAGCTGATCAGCAAACACTGCTACTCTGTATCCCTCTTTGTTCCACTATGTAGTACAATACTCCAAATGTTCAGTGATGTTCACGAAACACAATTGTCACTTATTGTCCTGTTCTCTCGTCATCGGATGAATCATCTCCAAACTTGACTTGTGGAACAGACCACAATGTCCTACCACAGAGATGGAATAAGCTAGAATGGAAATTAACATCAAATATATCTAAAAAAAAAAAATAGGCGGGGTACAAAGTGTGTAAATAATAATTAACAAATGTGAATGCTTTACAATAAGCTATCAATTCAGAAGCTATTAAAGGTTTCGATGTTATTATTTAGGTTAAAACCGATGACGATATAGTACAAACACGTAGGCTATGTGGTGCCTGTTTTTTCCACGCAAAAATGTGTGTAGGATTTGGAAAATTGTAGTTTATCTTTAAAGGACTGTGGAAGGGATCACTTGCCCTGGTGGGCTGGTCAGAACCCAGGAACTCAGTCAACAACAGTTCTTTCTTTGATGACTTTACTGTGCTATGGAGCATGTAATAGGTGTGGTCTGTACAAAGATAACAAATACAATAAAGTGAATAATACAAACTTCAAATCTAATAATTTGACATTATCAATATTACTGGAAATAAGTGAAATGCTACAGCTCAATGGATTGCCATATTAGCATCTGAATAGGCCATTTAACCACAATCTTCATTAACACACGTATACTTGCAATTCACAATAGACAGATGAACTATCACAACGTAGAACATGAGAACAGTAGAAATAAAGCGATTATAGAATTTCACGGCAGATATACATAACGTGCATGTAAACAGGCGCTGGTTATGCACGCTCAATCAATCGAAAATAATTACCATAGCTGCCAATGCCGGCAAGATTACAACTTAATCTCAATATTAAGCATAATTTAACAAGAACAACTCACTTTACAGGATGCACGCACACATATTACACCTGGATTTGGATCGGCTCGCATCTCTTCTCTCAAACTTTGCTGCGCAATCTTAAAATGGC